GATCAACATGGGCTGGTATGCCGCAGGCCCCATTTTCTACACCTGAGATCAATTGATTTAAATTAACATGAAATCGCTGCAGGCCCAACTGCTAGATAAGAACTACAAGCGTTTCGTCGACAATCTCTCAGCGTATAAGCCCTCCTCAGGTGCATCGCTGGAGAAGGTTCGCTCGGGCAAGGTGGAGCTTGGGGGCAAAGTCCAGACAATTAATGCAAGCGAACGCGACTTTGTAGCCAAGTTGAGCAAACGATTGGTACACGAGCTGCCCGCCCTTAGCATCTGCAGGATGAGATCTCACCAGGCGCGTCATGCTGCCGTCATACAGGACCTTGACGCGGTGGAGGCACTCAAGATCTTCCGCAACTTCATGAAGTATGAAGCAACAGGACGTTTCGAGTACGATGCCGAAACCTCCCTGCGCGAGGTACGCTCCTTCTCGCAGCGAGCTCATCGGCCTTCTGCTTCGCAGCCCTTTCGGCCTTCTGCCTCCTCCCGCTGCATGACTTAACCCTGGCTTACGCTTTCTTCACGATCCGGTGCCGCGAAGGTCATGCGGCACTACTACCGCGAGCGGCAAGCGCTGCTCAAGTGCCTCTCGGCCATCTTCCGCATCTCCATGGCAGACCAAGATAACGCCCCTGTCGAAGAGGCACAACAGCGGCTGAGCGATCCCAAGAACAAGCTCGACCGTCGCATGCTCGAGCAGTTTATCAATCTGTCGGACGAACCCGTTCCCAAGGAGAGATTGGTACCTATTCCTTACTCGTGCTTGCCTCCCCTTTAACCTTACCCGTGCCAATCCCTTACTCGTGCCTTGGTGGGTGTCACAGGAAGCGAGACAAGACCAAGAGGCCTGGGCGAAGAACAATCTCGAAGAGCAGAGTCTCTGCCTTGAGATTCTGTTCCTCTACTTCTACTGCCGAGAGCCTGTGTTTGAGCCAGAGACCATTCTCAGCTACGCGCGCTATCTCAAGGTAAGAATGTGCCCCACCAGCTGTCGCCTCACTTGATAGCCGTTCACACTTGTTTGTTGTTTGTGGAGCAGAAACACATCGCATGGGATAAAATCCATCCACTGCTGGGCGAGGAGAGCCGGCCGCTCATGAACAGGATATGCGTCCAGTGCGTATTGATTTTATTGGCGCTGTTCGGTTTGGAGACCATCGTCGAGGATGGAGATCAAACGCCCGGCAGGTACAACTTTCCCTACGGTCTGTTGAATGCCAACGCTCAATCGACCTTCTTGTCCGCGGCTACACAGGGCGACGAAAGCACTGCCTGCCGAGACACGGCAGCTGTTTGACAAGGAGTTCGAGCAGTGGTCCACGGACCCTGCTCACAGTCCTCTCCTCTTGGCCTGGGCTTGCACATCCCGTTTTAAATTCAACGGCAATGCAGCTGTACGTTGGTTCCAATCACAAGCTAACTTTGCTGCGCAGGTCACTTTTAGTTTCTGATCACACCTCCTTCCATAGCCCTTTCTTCACAGGGCTCGAGACCTGAACGTGGTGCCGTTTTTGAGCGTAATGACTCACGTGTTCGCCCGCAACGACGTATGCTAAACCTCTTCCTCAGTCCTGCTAGCTTTGTGTACTAATCCTTCTCCTGCGCAATCTTGCTATGCAGCCACACGTTGCTGGCTACAAAAGTGTCATCTGCGGCGAAATAAGTGCTGCCTTGACGTGCTTCGATATTGGCGCCGTAGGGGAGTTTGATCACCTGCTTCAGCTCTACCACGACATCTTCTTCAACGAAACCGCTATCACCCTGTACGTCCTTCTGACTACCGTCGCTGTCGCGGCTCTGTGACTCATTTGACTTTGCCGCGGCCCTTTTTGAACTAATGATTCATTCCCTGCACCAGCCCTTACTTGAAGGCCAACTTCACAAAGAAGTGCAACGCTCTCTACCACATCTCGCGATCAAGCTTCCCTCACGAGTTCGATCCCTTCGTTCGACTGAGCCAAACGTTTGCTGCGGACTCCATCTGCGCCGAGTTCATGTTCCGCCAGATCTTGGAACTGAAGCACTTCACCGTGTCTCGGTTCGTTGCCTCGTCATTGATAAGCAACCCTTCTCCTCGCGTGCGTGCGCTGACTTTCGGAAAACAGAAACGAACTACCGACCAATCTGGAGTTGGCTACTGCCCCGCCCTCTTCCGTAATGACGATGCAGGCTATTAGCCTTCCGGGTGTTGTCATCCCTGCCAATTGCAGAGGCCTCGTACACCGTGTTGATAGAGATGAGTTCATACAGTGGAACATTGTACGTATTTGCACCTGCACCGTTCCGACAAGGACGAACCTTGACTCATACTCCACTTCGTATCCTCCAAGGGCAACTATTCTGGGTGGACCTACTTCATGGGCAAGATCTACGTACTAGCCACCAAGCTCTCCAATCGACAGCCCACATCGGCATCGGAGATCGTTCAGGTGACGCTGATCCTGCGGCTTATGAACCAGCTGTTCGCCAAGAAGGACGACCTGATCAAATACCTAAACGATCACCTCAAAGGCACCATGGGACGGTATGCACACGCACGCACGCGTGCGCAACATCACTCGCATGGACTCATCAAGTGCCTTGCTTTGGGAAACAGGAACACCAACCTGCTGCGTCAGCTCTTCACCCTACTGCGGACGTCCTCGAACCTTGCTTCTTCCTCGCCCGCGTTGCTGGAAATGTTGGATGCATGCGTGCGGTGCATCAACCACTTCGCCACCAGCCACCCGCTTCAGGTGTGGGAGGAAATGCGGCGCGGAGGAGTGCTGCAAGAGGTGCGATAATCTGTCATTAGTTCCAGTTCCACAATGTCATCAGACTGACCAATGCCGGTGAGCCAGATGTCGTCCTCTATCAAGGGCAAGCCCGACGGTGACATCAGGCAGATTCTGATGCTGGAGCAGAGGAACGGCCTCTACCCAATCACGATATCCTTCCTCAACCTTCTCTATACGCTGCTCAGTTATGCGCGCAAGTGGCAGCTCCCAGGTACTCCTGTTCAACTAGATGATTGGGCGAACCAAAAGTAACTAACCGCCCTTCTATCATTGAAGAAACGCAAACAAACACCATGCAAGACGAAGGGGACATGGACTCGGTATCCTTGGAGGATTTCCACCCGTGCTTGTCCTTCGTCAAGGCTGACCTGTTCGCGCGCTACGAGTCCTGGCGCTACCAGAAGCCGCAACAAAAGCACAAAATCGGAATCAAGGTACTTGTTCTCAATGCTCTACTGCTGCGATGAGAGTATCTTACCGTGGTGTGGTCCTATGCTCTGCTACAGATCATGAACATATTTATTGATATCCTCAGCGAAGACACCGTCAAGAACTTGACCGGGCAGACCCTGCCAATGGCAAAGACGGATATGGACCTGTCCTTGGCGTCCCCCATGGCCAAGTATCAGCCGATGACTCCTCTAGGTACCTTCAACAACCCATTTCTTTCGCGAGCGCTGTATCTTACCCGGTCTGCAGGCACTCCGTCCCAATCTCTGCTCGGCGGCACTCCACTGCGATCTCCGGCGCGGGGCACTGCCGAATACCGCCAGG